AGGAATTTAAAAGCACCACATTTTGACTTCTCATGAAAATCACGAATGTAACTTTGCTATCAAAGTTCCATCTTGAGCAGTTCAACCCAGGTGACTCTTTTTCTCTACCAAGATGTGCTGAATATAATACATTGTTAAAGATGCATATCTATTTTTTAGTATTCTATAGTGAGATGAATTTCTTGTATGGCATAGAAAATCAACAAATTATGTGAGACTTTCTGAGGAGTTGTAATATGGGCCAAACTATAAGCTCAAATTTCATGATTGTAGGTTCTATACGACAGGCAAACAGGAAAAAGTAGAGGATTTGCATTTGTGACAATGAGCACAGTCGAAGATTGCAACGTAGTAATCCAAAATCTTGATGGAAGGGTAATCTCTCTCTCTCACAAACAGAGCACCCCTGTCAGCATGATAATTATTGTTTAGCTATTCATCTTTCTATATTATCTCTGCAAGGAGAAACATTATACTATGTGTATATTTAGTCCTTGCCTAGTTTTCCAGAATTGTCTTCAGTTCCTCTTTAACTTCCCACCATGAGATGTTGCTTCAAGTATATGTGTGCTAAAAACACTTCATTGTGTCAGGAGTATGGTGGTCGAACCTTCAGGGTAAATTTCTCAGACAAGCCTAGACCGAAGGAGCCATTATATCCAGAAACGGAACATAAACTATTTGTTGGCAACCTGGCCTGGTCAGTTACATCTGAAAGCTTGACGGAGGCATTTCAAGAATATGGGAATGTTGTTGGAGGAAGGGTACTATATGATGGGGACACTGGAAGGTCGAGAGGCTATGGTTTTGTATGCTATGAGACAAGAGCTGAAATGGATGCAGCCCTGAATTCTCTCAATGGAGTGGTACTGAACTTTTAGACCTTGTTAATTACTCTCTTTGGGACCTACATACTTGGAAATTCTGATACAGACCTAATGCAGACCTGTATAACTCTTCAATGCATGGTCGAGTTTGCATCAAAATTTTGGTTTTCTGAATTACTGGGGAAACTAAGTTCTTTTTTTATGCTTTTGTATCTCTCAGGAATTGGAAGGAAGGCCGATGCGCGTGAGCTTAGCACAAGGAAAGAAACATTAAGATGAACAGGATTTTGTAAAGGTTGAAGAGATGAAATTTGTTGACATAGAAGGATGCAAGAAAGCAAGTTTTAGAGTTGTTTTTTAATGAATTTGCTAACGATCATTGTGTTGCTCTGTCAGAATCAAATATAATGTAAGCATGATGGAGCTTCTTGCATTACTGAAGAGAATACTCTGTTCTTGGCATTAGACATACCATCAGTCCATTTTTTCTGGAAGCTAATATAAGGGTTGCCTAGTACCATCCTTCTCATAACAACTCCTTGGTGCACTTGGTTAAATTCATATGGGAAAAAACTCAAAGACACTTACAGTTCATTACCCTACCCTATGATGGAAATCTTTTCATCCTAGCAATATCTTGGTTTGGTCGACTCAGCATCCTTGAACAGCCCAGAATTCATGGCTTCGTTTGATCGACTCAGTATTGTTGAACAGGCCAGAATTCGTGGCCTTGTGTGTGTGTGTGTGTGATGTATCCAAGTACTGCAGATTTAATAAACAGTGACCGGGTAGCAATAAATCACAGGCCAACCAAACACGATCAGTGATTTCAACCACTCAGTGATACAGCAGCACATTTTGCTCTTGGGAACTCTCTTAATCAAACAAATTAAAGCAGTCCTTCTTGAGCATGGTGAAGTTATAATGGAAAAAATTACCACTCCTTGTTATGGGCAGACTAAATGGCCTGGTTGAATTAAGAAGTTGATTTGCAACTCTTAAACTTCTTATACAAATATCACCTCCATAGAAAGGAAGACTGAATTCTACAGTGACAATGGACAAATGCAGAATGCAGGAACTTCATGACCAACTAGACATTGAAAATTTGGATGTTACCATGAGGTAACTGTTATTTTCCAGCCAAGTAAGTTACGAACTTGATGAAGGGAAAATTTAGTGCAGAAAATTTAGAAACACAATCTAAAAGGAAAGGAATTGATATCTCCAGATTTCCATTGAAATAAAAACTCTGTGTACAATGACAGGGAAGTGAATTTTGAATAGCTTACAAGCTGAAATTATTCAAGTCAATTAGGCAATGGACTCACTAGCTAGTACTTTAGTAAAACTGACACCTGCATAGAAGGAAATCTTTACGTGGTATTTTTTCCATGATTTAGGATAGGTAAAGTTGGTTTTAGGTGCAGTTGGTATTTTTTTTATGATTTGGTATACATTTATATAATCTTGTCATATTTCATAACGGACAACAAAAGTTATATAAGTGTATACTAAATCATGAAATATAACAAAATTATTTGAATGTATATCAATTATGAAAAAAATATAACAACTGCACTTAAAGCTAAGGTTGTGTTTGGATTGCATTTTTCATGGAAAAATTACTGTAGCGATTTGATATATGTAAGGGAAAAAAGTGATAGGGAAATGTGATCACGGAAAACGACAATATTTTCCGACGAAAACAAGCAATCCAAGCATGTCCTAAGTGTACCTACTCCATTTTGGTATCTCTTTGATTTGAGTCTATCAAAATATGGTTCACCTTCAATGCGCTCTGCCAATGGTGACCTTTAGCTGTATAACCATGCATATTACAAGTAAAACATGTTAATTGAAGGTGTAACGCTAAGACATAATTTTATCCAAAAAAAAGGGCTAAGACACAATTCAAAAAAATTGCACCAATTGTCCCTCATATACTGCTGATATGAAATTTTAGTCCTTCAAAATAAAAACGAGTGATTTTAGTTCTTAACAAAAATATAAAGTGCTTGTTTTTTTATCCTAGTCAACTTTTCAATTGAATTTTGACAAGATTTTGTTGGATCCCATCTTCTTCCTAGCCTAGTTTTGTAGATTTTTCAACCTAATTTGTCAAAAAGCTATTTCGACAAAATTTACAACATGATTTTGGCATCAACCGAGTTTTCAAATCATTTCAAACATGACCCAAACTTCAGGTCAAATAAAAATCATCATCTAAACACAAATCAAAAGATCAAACGAGAAATTCAAACTTTAATTTTCCTACTCTATTTTCTCCATAAGACTCAAATAAAGTTGTAATGAAATTACATCCAATGATTTCTAGGATCCTAAAGATTAAGACCCATGAGAAATTTGAACCCAATAATCCACAAAAAAGGGAGCAAAATCCCAATCAAAATTTCATTGGAAAGTTGACCAAAGATCAAGAGTGAGTCTTTTTTTTATTTGTTAGGAACCAAAATGACTCATTTTAATATTTAGGAACTAAAATTTAACAAATGGTGTAAATTTTTTTTAAAAATATTAGTACTTTTAGGTTTAGTTTAATATAATAGATTGATTCTTACTGGAGTGTAAAGGAATGAGACTCAATTCGTATAGCAATTCCTTAAATTTACTAATAGAACTACTTGTATATTATCAATTTTTAGCCTCCACAAAACCCCCAAGCCCTAACCAAAATAAAATTAGTTGATAAAAAGAAGAGTTAATAAACTTTTTTAGGTCGATATCCGTGTTTATATTTCTGACTTAAAAGTAGATCTTACCTCCCTTTAGTTTACCAAATAGTTCGCATCAAAAATTAGTTATCTATCAAATTTTTAGCTTAGAGAAAAGCAAAACATAAAGTAGTACCTATTCAATTAAGTGGCTTATTCTAATCCCAAAAGAGAAAAGAAAAGAAAAGAAAAGAAAAAGCCCTTTCTCTAGTCTCTACACCGAACCAATAAATTGATGCCAAAAACTCAACGAGCAGTAAAATCAGTCGCCACAATCGTCCAACCCTGACCCACAACTGAACCAACTATTTACCACATGCAACAAGATTTCATGCTACCGCTAAGTCCTAACAAGTAACCAGAAAAGGAAAAAAGTGATTGGTCAAAAACCCAAAAGGGCTAAATTGACTTTGCCCCCGCTGTACTTTCAAGCATAATACAATGGTAACATCACAATTTTGTTACCAAAATACCCCTATAGAACACTTGTAATCTCAGCCTTTATTTGTTCTTCATGGTTAGTTTTTGACCCATCAATCATGACCACTGTAACCTATTCAAGATGCATGAATTGACCACTATTTGCCTTTTTCACTTTCTTGCACTTTGGAACTATCTCTCTTTTTTTTTTTTTTTGCGTGACGGAGGGGGTATCCGACCTAACCGGTAAATCGGACCCGATTAATCCCTCACTGGCCCGGAAGGAGAGGCCCATCCCCCGAACACGTTAATCATGGGACCCGAACCCTGACGGGACTGGACAACGGCTCCTTAGGAGGCGTGCCGTGACCAATCGAGCTGCTCATGAGCCTCTTTCTCCCTAAATTTGCCACTCAACTATGCTTAATAGACCTCGTCATAAGGGAGTAAATTGATTTTGACCTGTCATCTCTTATATTTATTTATTTATTTTAATTAATTTTATATTTTAAAAAATATGATACTTAAAATATGTCTTAACGAGTCCAATGATACCCGTTAAATAGACCATTTGATTTTTAGGTTCAGGGGAACTTTTTTTGATAGGCACAATTAAGACCTCAATGTTTCCATCCTATTTGTTTCTCTAATTTTTGTTTCGAATCTTATGATTTACACATTTTTTAATTCCCTTTTATTGCAGGTCAATTCTATAATTTCACCGGTCAATCTCCCTAGTACATGACAAAATAAAATGGTCCTTTCAATTAATTCTTGTCCAATAAGCATTTGGTTGAGACTATGTTGATTGTTAATATAGGGGGTGCCAAGTGCCTATTTTCTAAAGTTGAAGGGTGCAAAGTGCATTTAACCATAAGAAGAAATACCAAGAAAGATAAAAGAAAAAGCGTAATAGCAGTGCATCCAGGCCTCCACAATCTCACTCTCACACACACACACACAAACACACACTACAAAAAGCCAATTTACGCGTCTGTGTGGTTTCAACTTTATGCCGAGACAAAAAACCAAAAAGCGAAACGCAGCTCAAATCCAGTGGTCTCGATGACGCCCACAATTTAACGTAAATATACATATAAATATATATGTACATAAAGCGCCACACTGGTCGCAGTCTCACGCACTAAAACACCACCACAAACACACACTACTGCTCCAACTCTACTCCAGTTCTACTGCTGCTGCGTCGTTCTGGATGTTAGTAGTCGTGAGAGAAGAGGAATGGGAATGCGGGAATCTTAGTTAGGGGTTTTTGGATTGGGAATTTCTGGATCTTGCTGCTGAATTTTTCCCCATTTTGCAGATCTAGGGTTTTTTAATTTAATTTTGTTTTGTTTTTCTCTGAACTCGATTTTGGGATTGGATTCTTTCAATCCCGATAGCAATGGCTACTCCGTTTCACTTGCCCGTCACTGCTGCTCAGGTATTTTACTAGGAAATCTTTACTTCCACCTCCACTGTGTGTGGAAAACAGTGTATATTGCTGGGATTTTCTGAATCCGTGTATGCTTTGCATGTCAAGGTTCAGCTGGCTTGGCTTCACGGAAAAGTGTGTGCGTGAGTGTGTGAGAGAGAAGGTTTAGATGTGAATGTTGGACTGTTGGGATATATTGGATTTTGGGTTGCTTTATTTAATGAGCATTGTACAATACAACATGCATTTGGTACCAGTTAGGGTTGCTTGGAGGACTCTTTTGATGTGTGTTTTGGGTATAAGGTAGAAAGTTTTTGTAATCAATCTACAGAGTTTTGTGTGAATCAGGGGATTTATAGATGGAGGTCTATCTTGTTTCTATGTGTATTGTACAATATTACGTGCAATTGGCACAGCATCTTATTGACTCTGGTGTTTGTGGATGTGTTTTCGTGTCTTTCGAGAAAAAAAAATACAAAATGCTTGTTAGTACTCTGAACGGATAGGGGGTTGTATAGTCCGGTGTTTTCAGTTCATTTTTTGTTGGACTTGTTTGATTTTTTGGATTGAAAATTGTCTATGAAGGGAAGGGGGCAGGGGTGGGGGGTTGGGAATAATATACTGGTAACAATATTGGCGTCTTCTGGTTGAGACGCTCATCTGGACTGTGTAATTTCTAGAGCACGAATTTGTTATTATCAATCTGCATTTGAAGTTTTAAATCTCTTTTTTAACTATTTTTTGAGTTCTTCATTTGCTTAATTTTTTGGTTGCGATATTTAGGTTGGGACATACTTTGTTGGGCAGTACTATCAGGTCCTACAGCAACAGCCAGAATTTGTTCACCAGTTCTACAGTGATGCTAGCACTGTACTTCGGATTGATGGAAATACCAGGGATACCGCCACATCAATGCTGGTATGCTCTACTCTATTTCGGTCTTGCTAGTGAAGAATATATGAGTAGATCCAAGTCATTTCAGTACATATATGGTGGATTATGGAGAGAAACTATGGTGCTAAGTCTTGCTTGTCATCTGTGTCTCTGAGAAATTGTAATGCTTTATAGAGAGTTGAGAACTGCATTTCTTTGTTCTTGTCAGATTACATCTGATTTTGATGTTCCAACTTTAACTTATGGTTAAGTTTCTTTTTTTTTTTTGGAATTAATTTATGGTTAAGTTGCTGGTGAAGTGGAGTTATATTGCATCTTGCAGTGCTTGTCGAATCTTGGCTGGCATATTGTCTGTACTTTACTTCCACTTACTTCAGTGCAGTTGATATTAATGCACGTGACATCATGATATATATATAGATAATCAATTGCTGTTGTTGCATATGTTGTAGAAAGTTCGTCTTCCATCATGAACATCTAGGACAAGCTTCGCATAGTAATCATTTGTTTTCCCATGCCTTCTTGCTCCCTAAGCGCTTGTTTTAGCACAGGGATGTTATTTAACACGTATCTAAATCCATTCGTATTTGTGTTGTTCTACTTGGTCTCCTGATTGTTCCCTTTCAGGAACTTGCTCAAATTTAAATTCCAAATGTTTTCACATAATGTTACCTGTGTCATTTTGCAGCATATCCACACGCTTATTATGTCACTCAATTATACTGCTATAGAAATTAAGACGGCTCATTCCTTGGAGTCTTGGAACGGTGGAGTTTTGGTGATGGTTTCAGGTTCTGTGCATGTAAAAGATTTCAAGGGAAGGAGAGAGTTTGTGCAAACCTTTTTCCTTGCTCCTCAGGAAAAAGGTTACTTTGTTCTTAATGATATATTTCATTTTGTTGATGATGAAAACCATGTCCAGCATTCAGTGGCCTATTTGCCACAGAGCAATCTTGACTCCAAGCTAAATGCACCAACTGGTATTCGAGAACAAGGTATAATGATTTGGGCTGATTCTTTTCTAAAATATTTCAAGTAGAATCTAGAAGATAAATCCTATTATTTTTTCATAAACGTCTAGAAGATAAATCCTATTATTTCTTCACACACCTTTATAAATTAAAAACATTAGGCTTTTGCTAGCTTTGTTGTTACCTACATTCAACAGAATATGTTTAATATGTGTTATTCAGCATAAGAGCTGCACAATGGTTGTCCAACTTGGTTGAGTCTTATCCATCAATTATGATGCTTAAATGGAATTGCTGCTTTCAGTTATGCCAAATCAGATACAATCTGGTGTCAAGTGTAATGAACATAAGGTTCTTTTTTCTTTTTTGACCTGAATCATGGCTTCTGCAGTACCCAACTATGTGCTGGGTGGAGACATTCAGGGAAGGGAATTTGTTGCTGCTTCAACAATCGAAGAAAACGGTCCTGTTGATAGCTATAATTTTCCGGATGAAAGGTTGAAAAATGTCCCTGAAGCTGACAAGATTCTGGAAGACAATTTTGCTGTACAATCAAACGGTTCACTTCAGAGTGCAATGAATTCGGTGCAAGACCATTTATCTATTGCTGTTGACGAGCCAGTTGGGGAGCCCCAGAAGCACACCTATGCTTCTATTGTATGCAACTATATTTATCTTTTTGTGTTACAAGTTGTTTAACATTTTTAATACTTTAATCACTTACATTATTTGCTTCAACTTTTCGGAGTTACAGGTTGCAAAGGGACAAACTGCTCAAGCTATTCCTCCTCAGTCTGCCTTTAACAAGAATGCACCCGCATCTACGGATTGGCACCATGTATCTGACCCCCCTAGTCAGCTTCCTATTGAATCATCAAATAGTGTTGAAAGGACTGGAATGGATCATGTGGAAGAAGCCTCAGGTGCTGAAGATGAAGGTGACTGTTACTTCACTAAAAACTTCAGTTCTTTGTATGGGTTGGTGTCTGTATCTGGAGTACTTGTTGGAAATATGTGTTAGTAGTTGAATTTATCAATCACTCATTCCAAAAGACTTTTTCCATTTTAAGAATTTCTCTATTGTCTGCAGTTGAAGTGAAATCAGTATATGTTAGAAATGTACCAACTACTATGGGTCCTTCTGAAATTGAGGAGGAATTTAAGAAATTTGGCAGACTTAAGCCTGATGGTGTGGCCATCAGAACGCGGAAGGTTTGTCCTTTTCACTTGTCCTAATTTACATCATGACACCTTGTGTAGACTGCAGCAAAACTGACCTTCTAAATTATGCATAACTACTGTCCAGGATATTGATATCTGCTATGCATTTGTCGAATTCGAAGATATTGCTGGTGTCCAGAATGCAATTAAGGTCTGTATTTGTTCAAAAATTTTGAATTACAAGTATTGTAATGCAGAAGTTTGATGCACAGTTATAGAGCTTTTTAATCAAGTACCTAATGCATTTTTTTTTTGGGAGGAGGGGGGGTTGTTTAAATAGTTCATTCCAGTATTATATCATCTCTCTCTCTCTCTCTCTCTCTCTCTCTGTCTATATATAGCTATGTATATTATCAGAGGAGCTTTGTTAAAGAAATTCTCTAGTTTCTTTCTGCTTCTGGTGAACAAAATAACGGAATTCTCTAGTTGTGTGTTTAAAGTTAAAATGTCGTGTAACAGTTCTTTTGATTAGATTTTTTATTCATCTTCTGTTACTTCGATGATTTTTTTTTAAAGTTTTTTCATCTGGATTTTAATTTGCATTATGATTGTTTGGCACATCATGGAATTTGCCTGTAATCTAGGCATTTTATGCTGCTGATTTCTTTGCAGGCATCTACGGTGCAGATAGCTGGGCACCAACTATACATTGAAGGCCGGAGACCGAACAGAGGCATCCCTATTCGAGGAAGTATGTACCTTGATTTTCTTTTCACTAAAAAAAAAAAGAGGTTTCTAGATTTTTTCTCAAATTTTGTTACTGCAACACAAACAACATCATCATAATAAACTTTGCTCTATCATAACACTCCCGTGCCCCTGGAATGTTCATATCTGATGCATCTATGCGTCAAAGTCAGTTTTGGCGATCCTGCTCATGCAAGTATCTTCATTACGAGGAACTTATATAGGCTTGAACCTTTTTCCCTCTTAGTTTTAAGGAGTTGAGTCTGGAGAATTATAGGGTGTCAAACCAACCTACATGAAGTCCATCCTTATGTATTTGCTGTGCCTCACAATCAGCGTGCAGTTGATTTTAAAGTTATCTGTGTTTTCAGGTGGCATACTTGTTGCCAAGGCTGTTGTAAAAATTATATGATGCGACAATAATTTTTGTGTTTCATCCATGTTATTATGGTTTTGGCAGTCAAAAGTTTTATGGCACGACAGATTTTCTCTTGCTTATAGTGAATTTACTGGACTAATCTTTTATGTGTAAATTGTTGTGTTTTAGGAGGAAGGGGTAGGGGCAGGATTAGCTACCAGATGGATGGAGCAAGGGGACGCTTTGGTGGTCGTGGTTTTGGTCGGGGTAGCAGCCAAGACGGAAATGACCGAGACTACATTAGACCAAGGGCAAATGGCTTCTACCGACAAGGTCCTCGTCAAGAAAGAGTATTTTCCAGCGGCCACCAGGGATTAAGAAACGGGCAGAGCTCTTCGGAATAAATACAAGATTTTGTTTCAAAGGGTGAAAAGTTTTGAGCCTATTTGAATTTGCTATTTCACCTTCATAGCTCCCGAGATTAAGTATATTTATACTAGTGTTTGCAATTAGATGCATTAAAAAGAATCATCGCAATATGTTCTTTTTGGGGCAGTTTATCAATTGAATATCCGTCTTGATACAAGCACACTGACGCAGTCATTACTTAGTGCGTAGATTTTATGGGGCGATGCTTTGTTGATATCTCTTCAGTTTTTCTGGGGCAGTTTTTAATCTCGACTTTCCCTCTGATGCTCCCGAGCCCTGCTGCTCTACGCAATTGTGGCATCGTTTCCGTATACAGATGTACATTGACGGTGCTAGTTATTAAAATGGTTTGAGTGCATGAATTATTCTCCATGATAATGGCTAGAACTTGCCCATTTACTCGGTAGCAGATGAACAAACTACCATGAAGATGTAAATTCAATAAAGAATGCTATACTGGACCTCAGCGTAGATAAACATTCAACAAGAAACACAGGCGAGCGGTAAATCGATAGCTGATCAGGGCTAGAGAAAGTGCAGAGTTCTATCTAATGTGCAAACAGGGTTCACAAACGGTGAGGAGGCACTTGAACTAGACTAGATCTGAGGAGCAATTGGAGAATCAAATTTGATCAAGAGTAGCCGGTTGTTTCAGTCCGCCCGCAGGTGCCTAGATTCAAGTCATTACATAGGATTTAAAGATTGGTTTTTCCTGTCCAGCACCAACAATCGAACGGAAAAAAAGTAGTGCAACGGCTGAACAACATTTTTCACAATTAGAAAGAAAACATTTTATTATAATCAACTATTTTGCTCCTAAAGGATGGAGCAAAAGAACCACTTTTTTTTTTTTTTTTTTAATGATCAGTAGTGATTTCTCACTTACCCCTTGATGACTCGAATTCATAACCTATGAGTTACAGACAAAGGATCTTACCAACCACTTCTTAAACTGTTTCAGCATTAAAACCATAAAAGTCTTCAAAAAAAAAACAGTTAGTAGGAACAAGGAAAAAGGCATCCTGCCGCCTTCAGTAGGAACAGTTCGTATGCAAGAACTTAATTAATGGAAGCCTTTGGGCATATAAATTCGCATAGAGGAATCAACAAAAACCCCCCGTACTAAAAAAAAAAAAAAAAAAAAAAAACAGAGAGAGTTTGTTGGATTGGCTTATTCAAATTACTATACAAGGATAAAGGAAATTAGCTTGATTTATCCTGATATATTCTGAAAATATATCCTGAATGCCTGGACTTGTACGGTACTCTTATAGTTATGGCCAAAATGTTCGCACCTTTTTCCCGAGTACAAATGAGAAAAAGCCAAATAGCAGAAAAGCAAGTCCAAAAATGTTACATACATCAAAAGCAAGGAGAAGATAGGTGAAATGGAATTAGCTTGTAAAATTATCCACTGCTCTATTTTTCAGTGCCTTCCTCCTGCAAGGCATATTCTACATTTACTCCAAGACTATTCCGTTAACTCTTTTCTAATGATACGACTTAACCTTTTACAGGAAAGGAAGACTATTCATGTTGAAAACTTCCAACTTATTAGATCACAAACCTTCATGTCGCGATGCGATTTTATTCTAAGACCATTCGCATTCCACACATCCATGCAACCCATTCCGTGTAGTACATCAGCTCAAGTAAGTAGCATCTCTTTGTGGTACATTTATTTTCTCTTTTCTGTTAAGACGCAGATGACTACAAAAGCACCATTAGTGAAACAGGGTCGACTTTTCGAGAATTAGTTAGGACTCAGAACTCAGGTAATCAGGCAGCAACTTGTTTAAGGTTTCAAGCATTTTGCAGTAGTACCTGTTCCATGGGGTACTGCCACATGGTCGTTCTCCCGCAACCCCAAATCCTCCTCTTCATCCTCTTCTGTTTCCCAGAGAAAACTGGCATATGCTGCAAGCACATCGCTGCAAACAAGAAAACAAAGAGTAGATTTAGGCACCAAAAACATCACACAAAAGCAGCCGCATCTTCAGGAGGGAAAACAAGAAACCCCAATATCCTTCTGATAATCACATGCATTTTCTAGTAGTGTTCCTGACAGAATGGCCTAACATTTGCAGTACTTGTAGACTGGAATCATCCTTACCTGTTCTGTGGTGCAGCTTGAACTGCTTGCTTGAAGAAGGGTAATGCTTCATGTCTGTCTTGACGAAGTTCCCATATTACCTTAGCATACTGTAATGTTATTTCTCCATCACTAGGATCTAAATGCATTGCGCGCAAGTAGTACTCTTCAGCTGCTTGAAGGTCTCCCTGGGTCTGTAAGTAGAAAATATTCTCACAAACAGTGAATTCAATGTTCTCTTAAAGAGAGACAATAAATTAGAATAACTAGGAGTAAATGATAACTAGGAGTGAATTCATGTGACCCCAGAGACAACTAGGAGTAAATGATACAGAAAACAGAAAGCCTTGAGTCCTTTAACATTGCAGGCAAAAGCACGATAGACCACGCAAAAGCCTGAAGACCTCTGGTCTAGAGGTTGGTTTCTCTCCCTCTAGCCCCCCTTGGCCCAGCTCTAATATAGGTTAGATAGATGTTGCCGATTGACTGGAAAATAATCACATCCAATATACACCTATGTCAAGATGCTACTGCAAGGTACTAGGTTATCAAATGATTTAACTTTTTCGATCACAATTAGAAATTAAAAGATAATGTGAAAACTTGAATAATCAAGTAAATTGCTGAAATTTGATGACGATCAAATTTAGGTCTAAAGGCCTATAAATTAGTGTTTTAGACAGTAACATGGACCTGTGTTATGCTTAATCAACTGTACAGTATCTAGATCAGTTACAGGAAAAAAGAAAAAAAAAAAGAAAAGAAAAGAAAGGAAATATAGGTACAACCTCACAAAGGTACTGTGCATAATTCCTCAGAAACAAAGGGTTGGAAGGGTTCTCTTCAATCATCCTCCTATAGTACTCTTCGACGTTAATACTGTCACTAAAGTCTACTTTCATACAATCAGCATACCCCATGGTACCGCCAAAACCAGCCATGTCAATTCCAAGCCCTGTTGCAAGATGTAAGGGGGGGCTAGCCGGTCTTTGGTCTTCAGCAAATTCTGAGTGACATTGATCCATTTGACCACCAAATTCTTCAACCTAACAAATCCCAACGATTATAAATTTACGCCAAAGACACAAACGAGCATTTTGAAGGACAAAATTATTGTACAAACATAAAAACCTGTCTCTGCTCATTTGATGAGCTGCTTTCCACTTCATCTTCATCTTCATCTAATTCCCACAGGAAACTGGCATATGCTGCCAGCACATGGCTGCAAAAGGAAAAACAAAGATCAGCAATCAAGCACATGAATGAGCTGATTTAGATATGGAGACAGAGAATTGCACGGAGTAATTGGTGGTCATATGGATAATACAACCAGTTAGACAAAACCTTTAGCTCAGTAAATAAAGCATGCTTTTATCATCTAGACAGTGAGAATGCTAGAGAAGCTGAATTATCTGAAAGTTTACGATGAGTGTCTAGTCTAGTTTTCAGCTACTAAAAAATCCTGTTCTTGCACGTAAGAATGAGACAGAAAATCCCCCCATACAAACATGCACTCTGCTCTGAGGAGGGCAAAATTGGATATCCTCGCACTACTGATGCCTTGTTTAAGCATGTACCTATCTTCAGGAGCTGCACAAGCTGCCTTTTTAAAGTACTTTAAGGCTTTGTCTTTGTCATTATGGAGCTCCCACACCAGTTTAGCATACTGAAGCATGATTTCCCCATCTTTAGGATCGGCAAGTGTAGCACGAAAGTAACATTCCTCAGCTCCAGAAAGTTCCCCCTTGGACTGTTAGGCAATACCATCAATCACATTCAGCATCAACAAGATATAAGAATGAAAAAAAAAAAGCTGTAGTACGAAATTCTTGTGATATTTTTTAATTTCCCTCACCCATTTCCTTTGAACTAATAGCTTCGTTGGTGTTGCAATGGGAAAGAGGAGGGGCAACAGGAGGTGAGACCAACAGCCTAAAATACAATCTCAATTCTGGAAATGTGTGAATCCAGCTAATTAGGGAAAACATGTAGGTTTATCAGGGCAAGCCTATAGCTCAAATGCTACATACATTCTGTGGTTGGTGGAAGTCCACTGAGAATAAACATAATCCAGCTTCATCCCTCAGACTGCATGCTTCTAAATACTTATATATTGTGCTGAACTTTGATGCATTCTAAATTTTAACAGATTCTAATTCCAGAAACTGACATAATTATTTCTCAAAGGCGAGCAATATGCATTTCAATTTAGGCAACTGTATAGGTTCATTGACGATAATCACATTCTCCTATCAGATCCTGATAGGACGGTACACAGGGCTCCTTTGCTTGAAGCTGCACTGCATCAAATGTGAATAGGTTGTTCAGTTGGAAAATCTGGAGGAGAAGTAGAAGGAAGAGTTGAGAAAATTTGTGGGAAAAAAAAAAAAGTAGTCGAACAGAAAGAAATGGCCGATTTTAAGATATGACTTTCCTTATATTTCTGTAATCATATATTCCTATAATTTTTTTTAAAAAAAAGTGATTTCCAATAAAAGTATCAAATTTGTGTAAATAAAATAAACCCCTGCTCAAATCCAACCAACTTCAAGTTGAATCCAACCTCCTTGAATATGGTATGCTAGGCTAATATTCTCTAAATGTTTCTAGGCAGAACAAATGGCTATTAAGACTGGCACCCTTTACAAACTTGCTCACAAACTAAAGAAGCACAGAAGCATCCAAACTGTAGCCCTGCACCACAATAATTTGGAGAATGCAGTATAATCCCCAAAGGACCAAAAAGAAGAGAACATAGTATTATCAACGCGCACGCCGGGGGGCCATCATTTCAGGAACTCGAAGCAAGCTCGCAGATTCATTGGGCCTACTAATATAGAAATATCTGAAACACTGTCCTTTTTGGAAACAGAAATTAATTTGTGTGGGGCTTAGTTAGAAGAGGACTAGAAATTAGTTATATCTGCTTCCTGATAATTGCTTTTAGAGTGTGTATTGTTATCACTGCGAGCAGAGTCCACCTCACCTAACTCTTTTCAGAAATTAACGACAATGAACAATTGAAGAAGCTGAGAACAAGTAGATCACGAACAAAACTAGCTAGAAGAGCACTAACCTTAAGAAATTGAGCATAGTTCCTCAAGAACAAAGGGTTGGAAGGATC